TCTCATCATCCTCTTCTCTCAGTCCATGGCATATGGCTCACGAAACGTAAAACCAAAATGCGAAGTAACAATAATGGGGGGGGGGAACCATTCCAACTTCGGTTTGTCTTGCTGTAGCGCCGAACCAACTAATTAATTCGCCATTAGCGTAATAACTGTCCGACTGACAGCAGCACGGGGTCGTCAGATCCTCTGCATACCGAGAGCCGGTCGCTTCCTGTCAACCGACGAAAATTACGCACGCAAATAACTAGTAATGAGATTCCTCGTCAGGAAAAGGGGGTTTCCCTTCTCGTCACGACGCCCTGACCGGCTCTGGGCCCACTCATCCAATGCGTAACGATGGCTCTCTCCCCAGGGCAAAGCCGCCGAAGTGTGAAATTGGCAAGTCACTTCCATCTGGAGCCGATATCAGGAAGGGACCGCTCTTTAGCACTAGTCCGCAACATGCCTTCACGGCGCTCTCTGTCTGAAGGGTATAGCGGCCAGAGCTTGAAGCCGATATCTCACCTTCATCTCGTGTCGAGATTTAGAATGAGTGGAGCTTTATCTCCATGCCCCTGTACGCGTTTATCGCTTACGCACAGCGACAGCTTCACCTGTTACCTCACGTAATTAATCTAGTCAAAGTATTTTACCAAGAAATCAGATATTTTTTTGTAAAAACCTGTAGTCCAGAATCGAAGCAGGGCATTTGAATGTTTGTTTCTTGTTTTCTTTCATAACGCTGTTTTAGCTGCGAAGGTTATGTTACGTCATCGGGGAATGGCAAGATGATTGTGAATGTTGGATGCAGAAGACTTTCGAAGAAGCCGTCGTGGCCTGTTTTAATGTACTCTGCCGGTATTTCCCTTTAGGGACAGTGATACAATTGTTGTTTGATCGCTTCTCCATCTCTCACTTTGTTTCTTTCAACCATGGAGTAAAATGTCCACCTTTTAAGTCTCATATTTCCCCCGCTAGGAGAACGTCATGTCTCACGAAACATAAGTCAAGCGGTGAAATAACATAACTGCGGGGGGGTGCGGGGGTGGAATTGGGGTCGCAACCACTGAAGCGTCGGTTTTCCCTCAATCAAAATTTGCCGGCAGCCCTGTCAAAAGTCGAACTGTGTGCGTTCCGAATACAAATCAAGAAAGTCATCAACTTACTCTGCCTTCTATATCTTACGAATCAATCAGTTCGCAAACAGAAAATAGGACACTGATGTTTTTAACCAGGTCTGTAAGTTACGTTAATTTGTCTGAAGTATGTATGAAGCCTCTCTTCACGAAGTAAACGTTCCTTTTCTCTCTTCAAAATTACAATTCGTTCACTTTAGCGTGTTTCAGATCAATGGATGGGAAGAAAAGTTTTGTTAATCTTCGCTAAATTCCTATCACCTCCGCCCCCTCCCATCCGCGCCCCCACGGTGTTCCCGTTGTAGTTTGTGTGTCTCGTTTATTGGTTAACAGGTTTCGAGTCTCTGCAACTCCTGTTGTTATACGTGACTTTCAGCATGTGAACAAACTAAATTTAAAATTTAAAATTTAAAAAGTACATTAAATGTAACCTAAAACATGCGAGTTTTGACGTTTTTACGGTAGTGGTTGTTCATTTGTCTTCCGGATTGTGACACCGTAGTCTTAGAGGTGGTATGTACTGCTTCTGTTTTCAGAACACGACCCAGAAGACCTCAAGTACCCCGTTTTTCAAATGGTCCCCAGTCATTCTTTTACATAATAGATTCTTTTGATGTAAACGGTCTGTTTCTTTGTTAGATAGCCATCTACATATCTAGTTATTTGTTAGTTAAAAGAAATAATTTGGTTAACTACAGCAGATGTTTTCTCAAACGATTTCTGATACCGAAAACAGAAAAATAAACTTTTTTGCAATTCTTTACAGTCAATCTGAAAGGTGAACGAATCCTGCAATCCCCTCAGAAGTTCACAGGTTTTATGTTGGTGGTGGAACCCTGGGTAGATGGCCCTCTGAGGGGTATGGTGGTCCCTGTGAACGACTACAACACCCGAAACGTGGGCGTTTTTAACTTGTTTGGCGACACCTCAACTAAATTCAGCGACCGATGTCCCAACGCTGTAATACAGACGTCTTCAATACCCAAGTCTGACGTTCAGGTGCTGTGGACTGCCCCTCCCAAGGGCAGTGGCTGTGTTGCATTCAGGTAATCTATTCGTTTTGTGATTACAGAGGGTACTGATCTGATGTAAAGGTTCATGTAAAGACTGTCCTGTAGGCCATTGTTGCACTGGCATCCAAGGTTACTGTTGAGAAAGTGTGTTCCAACAATATCCATACCTCATTGTTGCAGTAATGCGATCCGAGATGTGTTGTGCAAAAATGTCTTCCAACATCGGCTCCCATTGTTGGGCCAAATGCCCTGTCATTGAACTAATATAGTCCAAGAACATTGTTGTGCAACTATGGTTTAAATTGTTGTAGAACGATGACCCCTGGTCATGCGTGTTTACTGCCTCCAAGGAAAGATGTGAATGACGGAAATGGATGAGTCCAAAAGATGTTCATTGCTCACTTTTAGGTGTAAAGGACACCTATCTAGGGGTCTCTTGAACATTATTTGCACTAATGCAGTATACATACATATTTTATTAAATTCCATGGATCCATAAGATAGTCAGATGACAATAAGATGTGGAAGGGGTCATAATAATAATACAATATATATTATAAAGTATGAGCCTGGATAGCTCAGTCAGTATAGTGACTAGCTACAGGCTGGACGGCTGGGGTTCGATCCCCGATGGGGGGCAGAGTTCTTTTCTGGGGCCCACCCAGCCTCCTCTACAATGGGTCCTTTCCCGGGAGTAAAGCCGGCCTGGCCGTGATGCCGACCACTCACCCCCATCTAGTGCCGAGGTCAAGAAAGAGAGGAGCTATACCTCCACTCACCCCAAGCACCTGTACAGCACGTAACAGGACAAACTTTACTTTACATATTATAAAGTACAATTCATACTATTATATAAATTTCACATAATACAAACAAAGGGTTCACCTAAAGTAATGATGGGGATGTTCACGGTTGATCTGCCTGCATGTATGAGTCCATGTTTCACCTTTGAAACTACTCAGCCAATTTAAGTGGGATTTGGTGCTGGGAGTGTAAAATATCAGTAATAAACTCCATGGAGCAGAGTCTTTAGAAAATGATGAACACTGTTAGTAAAGAAATTTGTCGCTGTTTATGGAATCCAAGGATTCATTATCTTGTTCACAGCAGTGATGTAAAATACTGTCTGTCTTTGGAATTAATCTGTCTTCATTTATCTACAGTAACACAGTCATTACATGACGTTCTCATCAGCCTGAAAGAAAATACTGTGTCACTGATGTGTTAGAAGTATGGAAGAATTGAGTGACACAGAACCTTGCATGCACAAATGTAAATATTTACTGTTTGTGGCAGACTTTGTCAATACAAATTAATTTTTGACCAGGAGTGGACCACGGTTATAACGCCATCACCATTCTGTGAAATTTACTGCATATTAAAATAATATAAACAAATAAAACATAATGAAGTGTAAAAAGTAACGTGAAAATAAATTACTTGAGGCCTGATGATAGAAGCAGTATGGTCCTCAAAATTTTGGCAACAAACTAATTTCTGCGTGGTGTGAGCTCCCAAAAGCAGATTGAGCATACTTATCATATCTACCCACAGTTTTATTTTAGTGCACTGCAAGTGATGCTGTTGCCATCACTTGTGGTGAGGAAATCTGTCTTAGAACGAATTTCATGTCTTCAATCCCTATTATGGAAATCTTATGTAGTTATTTGTATTTGTCTTTATTCCCTGATACAGGGCAACTGTTGTGGAAAATAGTGATTTTTGGTACATGGATGATGGTCCACTGAGTCGCTTGCTTTGTGAAGCTGTTGAAGATAATGACGATAATCAACCTGAAGTTGTGAATCCTTGCTGTGCTTGTGATGAAGCCAAGTATGAGGTAACAAACATTAAACGCTTAACCAACTTTATAACACAAGTGTCTGCAGGTGGAATCAGACCTCGTTGTTGAATGGTTGGCATAATGTCACAGGATTCATGGTTTGAAACGACTTTGTGACTGTACTGAATATAATGCCAGTATAAAGACAACCAAATACCTGAAGGTATAAGTTGAATCAGTTTCCAAAAATGTCGTACGTATCAAATACGTCAAACAGTGTATAATGTCCAATGTGACTGTCTTGTACTGTTACACGCAATAAAAATAAATTTATTATTACCAAATTGGAATGTTTGCTGGAAATAGGTTTGTCCTCTCATTTAAAGCTCTTTGTACGTATACCATACTCTATTCATGATGGCTGTGGATTTAATGTAAATGTATGGTGGATAGGTACTAACAAAATTCTGGCCTGCTGTTGGCTGTCAGTTCTGCAACTTACCAAAATTACAGTGGATATGATGTAACTGTACCTTACTGCAGAAAATCAACTAGGCCTGACATCAGTAAAGGAAGTACACATATAGTGGTATAGTTTGTGTTTTAATATTATTAAGATAATAAAGGTTGGTTAGGATGATAAGTGGTTTCAAGAATTTTGCACCTTCTTTGTAGCGACCATCAGCTCAGGTTCTGTATTTGTCACACCAAATACTTTACAGGTGAAATGCACTTACATATTTTCTCTTATTGTAACTGCTTGTTCTAGAAGTGTAATGAATTAATCAGTTTATAATAATTATTGTTGTGTTATACAAGAGAAAAAAATAGTGTTGGTGAAGGAAGGTAACACATTACTTGGGAAATTAAAATAAAATTATTAAAAGATTTTATATTTGTCCTTTACCTGAAATAATCAGGCATTTCATGAGTGGACTACCTACATATTATATAGACTGCCTGAATTTCATATTTTACTTGTGATATATACACTCATTAGTCATCACCACATTTTATGGCATCAGCATGTGACTGTTGATTACATTTAGGTGACTTTTGAGGGTTTGTGGTCAAGGCACACCCATCCAAAAGATTTCCCAACAGGCGGGTTGCTGACAAGATTCAGTGATGTAATTGGAGCTTCTCATTCTGCTGATTATTGGTTCTGGGATTATGGTAGCTTTGCTTCAGAAGGTTTGCGCCAGGTAGCAGAGAGAGGCGCCACTCGTATGCTCGAAAGTGAATTAAAAGCTCAGGTGAGTTTAAAAAATAAGATTTGTATGTGTTTTGTATGTGTCTGTACTGTTTATTTTAAGGAGTTTGTGAAGGTACAATTGTCCTTGTGTTTAATTAAGCCTCACATCGTGAAAACATTCCTGTGCTTTTAATTAAGGGCATAGGAGAGGATAATATTAAAACGGTTTGTCATGAATCAGAATAGGATTCAACTGACTCAGGATGGGATCATGTTACAAGTTCATGTAAACTTGGTATTGAACCTTTGAATTTCACAAAAGGTGGGAAATGACTAGGTGAGAGATTGTCAAGTTCTTAAAAAGGACTCTTGTTTCATACAATTAGTTAGTAGGTTAATTAATAAGAATACTTTATAAGAAAATGAAAGAAATGAGCATCATTGTTAATGATAGTAATGATCAGACAGGTTCTGGAGTGAACCCAGTGTTTTGTAGATTTGGTACCTAGGATTATTTTCCTGGATGTGAAGTGGTCTGGCCATGAAAGTGATCACTCATGTCCATCTAGTGCTAACGTTTAGGATATATGGAGGTTTACCTCCATTCTTCCAATACAAATGTATAATTTGGTGCTTAGGCATAGGGGAAAATTCACTGTATTTCATTTTATTAACCAAATTTTTGAGGAGGTACATTAATGTTGATTAGTGAGATTTCAGTTTCTCATGGCAGCAAGTTTTAAGATGGCTGTATACTGGGTTGATGTGCCATATAGTCTGGTAGAAATTTACTCATCATCCTGATGATGGAGGTAGCAAGCATCTCTGTAATGTCTACAAGACTACATGGTGCAACAACTCAGAAGACAGCCATCTTAATAATTACAGTGGATTGTGCCTACAGAGATCATTTAATGGAACTGATTAAATGAAACTTCTCTTTTTCTAGAGTGAACATATACGGACAATAATAAAAGCGCGAGGTATTAGCTACCCCAACGTGACTCGCAAAACATTTGCAGTGTTCCGAGTGGACAGGAAGCACCATCTCATGTCCATCGTGTCAAAGATAGGTGAATACAACAAACCTAACATTGTCTAAATTAACAGCGATTAAAACTGGGAAATGCTCGCATTCTTCACTTAAAAATATTTTGTCTTCTGAAGTATGATTTAAAAGCCTAAAAAATGAAATTTGAAAATGACAGTTTTACATTATATTTTTCTTAAATCTAGACTGTTATTCTAAGGGAAGAACATAGACCGAAGGTGTCTGAGAACAAAATGATGAGAATGTTTGATATTTTCTTCCACATTCTAGTAATAAGAGTCTGATAAAAATTGCTTAATGCTGGTTGTACTCTTCACCAAATATTATTAGGGTGATCAGATCAAGGAAGAGGAGCTAAGTGGCCAAGTTGTATGCACAGGATAAATAAGAGATTATAAAATGCTCAAAAGAAGAGACCACCTGGGAAATATAGGTATAGATGGAAGAAAATAATTAAATATATCTTTAAAAAAATAGGTTCAAATAGTGGGCTTTTGTGACCACTGTGAATAATATGAGTTTTATAAAAACGGGTACATTTTGACCACATTAGGAACTATCAGATATTTGAGGAAGTCACCCTTAATTGGTTAGTTAGGTATTAATTCTAATTCTAATAATAGTAATAATAAAAAGGTTTTTGTATCTACAGAAAGCTATTATTAATGTAATATAACTTTATAATGTTACTAACTAAATTCTTTTATGCAGATCCATCACCAGATTGGATAGTTGGAGTGTCCCGCCTGGAACTGTGCCTGCGGAACTGCAGCTGGGTGGAACACAAAGTTCTGAATCTGTACCCTTATGATGCAGGCACAGACAGTGGAATCGCATACATTGTGAGTACATTTAACATACCTACAATATTTTTATTAAATGCATTTATTGCAGATACACATTAAGAACTAGTCAAAATTAATTTTCTGGTAATACTGCTATATGGACTTTTAGGTTGATTGCAACATTTCAGGGGAACATACTGCTTTCAGCTTCAGTGCTGAATTCCTTGACTAGTTTAGTTTCTATTATATTCTCGAGAAGGTCTCAGCTTTATGGTTACAAGAGATAGTCAAAAGAATAGTTGGAATATTTAGAACAGACAAGAAATTCTTGTACTCCAAACTAGGAAGTAAAGGTATTATTCATGCTGTAGCTAGTTGCTGTCCTAGATCTTCATTCAGATGTGGGAGAAGTTCAGTTTGATTCTGATGCTTGTTCAGTTATGAACAAAAAATTCCTTGCTCCAAATCTTTTCATATACTAACAATTAGTTATTACTTTCAGTCACCAGATATGCCTACAAAGCCACGTGAGACAATTCGAAACATCACGTCCACCTATCCAAATGACCCAAAATCTCCATTTTATGGTGAGGAGATGAAGCCTCTGGCTCGTTTGTACCTCACTCGTCAACGGCTTTATGAAAAGAGCTGTTCAGATGACACTTCTGGGGGTACTTCTGATGATGATTCTGTATTGGATGAACACACAGTATCTGGAGGTACATCATTTTCAGTATTTAGTCCTAATACTATTGTGTTCTCACCTGACTGTTAGAACGGGTAACACACAGGCATGGTTCGATGGTTGTGGCATGTCCCCCATTTGTGTTTGTGTTAATCACTTTATAACTGTGAAGCATCACAGGATGAACAATGAAATAACAACTTGCATGACAGAAGATGTCTACAGAATTTGTTTGATAGATTTGAGGCATTTATTTTTAAATATTAAATTTGATTTTACATAATTGTTTTTATACACAGAAAGACCAAGCAGTATGCTAACAGCCAATCACTAAGAAAGGGAATATCATTTATACATATTAGATAAATATGTGTAACTAAAACTATTAATATATTAATATATTAGTTTTTATTATGCCCAGAACATGGTTCATGTTAAAGTTTCTGCCATTGTTCCTGCTGCAGACATGATATGCTTCCATAACACTTTCATGCATATTTGTATTAAGAACCACACTAATTCATAACAATAATGAGATTTGTGTTCTGTCTTTGCTTTTCTCTTATACCTCTTCATTCACTGGAGACCACTATTCCTTTAAGTTATTCATATAATTTATTTTTTTTAGGCCTGAGTTAATTTGAAATTATTTGTCACATTGAATTGTGTTTTATCTTATTGTTATAACCTATAATGAAATAGCCAAGTCTACAAAACAGTTAATATTGATTTGCCCACAGACTGTGAAGTGAACGAATGGGGTCCATGGAGTGCGTGCTCTGTTTCATGTGGTAAGGGTGTAAAGTATAAACAGAGATCTTACATGGACACTACTAAGGCCCAGATAAGATCCTGTAATATAAAATTAACAGCTAAGTATCCCTGTCATGGTGCACATGAGACATGTAGGTATGTATGCAGATTTTACTTGCCCAGTTGTATGTGATGCAGTGTATGGTACATTGACTATATTTAAAAGATTATACATCACAGATTGAATGCCTTATTTTTGATTTATTTAACATAAATTTTTCAACTATGTTAACATGTTATGATTTGTGAATGATGAATCTAAAGGAATATGAAAGGAAGAAGTCATTTTCTGTTTTAACATGTTCACTTCCACTTGACACACACATACATCATGCAGCTCCTAGTATGAGTGCCAGTGATGCACATGTGTGATTTCAGTCTCAGTAGCTTTGCCTGCGTGGACTGTTTCGCACTGTGGTTAGTTTCTTCTTGGTACATTACTAATCAGATTGGATTAAAGTTATATGTGAGCAAATTTGATTCTACCTCATAACTCTCATAAGTCTAGAAATAATGACAGATAAAACTGATAATTCTTATAACTCAGCTCCAGGTCTTTCATAACCAAGACTAATGTGCTGCTGAAGCTTACAAGCCTGATGCAATTTTTGATTTATTAGGAAACATTTTGGGTGGTACTAATACAAATAAATTCAGCAGTTCTAGTGTCACAGAAAGCAAAAGTGAATTTGAAATTGAAAGTACTGTTCTACAAGAAGTGTATTGTTTATACACTGGGAAAGACAACTGTATTATGATTTCAGACTTTCTGTTATTTGGCATCTGTTGTCTTTTTACTCTACTATAAAAATGAAACCCAAGTCACTCAATGTAAGAAATCACTTGCTGATCAAGTGCAAAGCAAATGGAAAAGGGAACACTTTGTGGAAATTCTTCAAAGTACAATATGTAAATGGAGGAAGAAAATATTCTGTTTAGACTAATATTGTACCCTGTATCCAGGAAACACTTGATTTGTATGGAACAAATTTTTGGATTATTTCAACATGAAGACAATGTTTTTCACTGTGGCTAAATTTTTCGATGAAATTTGAAGGTACTTTGTTTTTGTAACACAACACATAATACAACTTCATTAATGAATGAGAACTTTAGTTGTACTGAATTTCTTGTTTTTTAAAAGTGTAAAGTAATTTTGTATTTGTATGTAATTATGTGGTGTTCTAAACCCTTATAAATTGATGATGTACGTGCACATCAACAGGCATGGGATGTGAGCTGACATTTGTCTATGACTTTGACACACTTGTGCTTCCTGTGATATTTTGAAGGTTTCTTTGAAGAAAATTACAGTCTGGTACATTACATCGCACGTAAACCTCTAAAGATACATCACCTCCTTTGGTCAGTCATGGCAACAGGGAATGTATTAACCCTATGCCAACATTTGTCTGAAGGACTACCACTGAAAAGTTGGAGTGCTGTGGAGAAATTACAGTACTTGTGTGTTATATTTCAGTTTCCGGGCTGATGATGCACTGACAGATGCACCACTGGACTCCATTTGTATTCCGACAGAATGGAATTCATGGTCAAGCTGTTCAGTCACCTGTGGAAGAGGTGTGCGCACGAGATCTCGTAAATATGAGCAGCGTGAAGCGTACAAACGCTGCTCTTCACATCCTAAATCACCACGTCTTGAACAGAATGTTGTATGTTATGGAGTGGAGGGAGAGACATGTGGAGATTTTGCAGAGACTAGTAAGGTTAGTAATGATATAATTTGGTATATTATCTGGCATATCTTCAAAATGGAAGAAAATGTTTAAGATAGTTTGTATTTACAGTGGAGTATAAATATTTTTTGAATATATAATTTTATATTTTGGATGTGTCATTTGCCTTGTTGCTGATTTATTGCAGACACTATTCTGTTTTGAGGCATTCTTTTTGTAAGTGTGCATTGGGATGGAAGATTCAGATATTTCTCTCACTGTGTCTCGCTGACAATGCACAATTTCACTTCAATTCTGTGTTGCCAAGAATACTCACAATGGAAGCAAGTGTAATAATAGACTAATTATTCAACATTTCTTAATGGCAAATATATCAGTGCATTAATACATCATGTATGAATTACAGGTAATATTAATACTAATTCATACAGAAAATACAGGGAATGAGATAGAGCATTGTTTAATTAGAGATGAAACAGTGTGTTTTTAAATTTATAAAAACTATTCAGATGAACTAGTTGATTCAGTAAATCTAAATTATAACAATTACTGAAAATTTTTCAGTAATTGTTGTAATGTAATATTATTTAATATATATTATATGATAATTTTTACCAATTAAAAATTAAAAAAAATATGTTATGATAAAAATATAATTATATCATATAGGGGTCACTGTACTTTTTGGCTGGTGAAATTTTCAAGCATAAGGCTTAGAGTGAGTTACTTGTGTGATAGTATAATAATGTTCCATCATCTACCAGTAGGAAGTGTAATCTCTGCAAAGAAAATTGGACCTGATTTATACTTCTGTAGTAGGTGGTTATAATTTTTTAAGGAAGTTTTTAAAGCAATAAATGTTTGGTTATAATAATCACAAATGAATATAGCTAGTGCACTGGGAATGAAAACACAGTAGGCCACTGTTACTTTTATCATCATCTGTTGATGTTTTACCTATATGGGCTGCCCTTTAAAAAAGCATTTTTCATTCTCTTTCATTGTTTTGTTCTTCTTGTATATATGTATGTCTTTTCCTATTCTCTTCTGTTCATTTTCCTTTACTTGGCATTTCTACGTTGTCCATCTCCCAAGTAGCTATTTATACAGCATCATCATTTTTTAAACTGTCAGAGGAATCCTGCCATTGTCCATGCATAACAAATGTCCATATAACTTTATCCTTAATTTTACAAAATTGTTTGTAGAATTTATACTTTCAGATCTTGTCTAATGTGCTGGTTTATTTAGTACCAGTTAAATTGAAATTAATGGCAGTGTATACATAAGTTTGAATTTGGACTCCTGTTTTGTTATGCAAATCACTTGACCATGCTATTGATAGTTTTAAGTATAGTTGAAATGTTTTTTATTGTAGACAGAAAAGCCAAATTGCCCATTAACAGAGTGGTCTGTATGGAGCCCCTGCAGTGCTACTTGTGGCAAGGGGAAACGTATACGAACACGCTTGCGAGTTGTATACAACGAGGAAACAAGGACGATGTATGAATACATGGAAGAAGGTCATAATGGCCCTCTCAGTATGAAGGACTGTGCAGATGTACAAATTAAAGATGAGGTTGAATGTGATGGGGAGTTTCCCTCCTGTGAGATTACACCATCAATGGCAAGGGGTGAGTGATCAAACTCCTCACATATAGTAGGATTTGAGGTTCTCATGGTGGTGAATACAAAGATAGTTGTCTTCTGCTTGCATATATCTCAGCATTCTTTGTTAAAATGTTTATTTGATTGAATCTGATTCAGTGCATTATAATCATGCCCCTTAATGGTACTGCATGAGATAATCATCAGGTAATTAAAACATGAAGAGAAGTTGTGCAAAAGGCCATTTGTGCCATTTTATAGCATGATAGCTTTTGTAGTTGGACAGTGTTAGTCCCACATCCTACACCCAAGCTCATATGCTACTCCTTGTCAGCTGTTGCTGCTTTTAGCATAGTCATAGGTACCATCCATACCTGATATTTGGAAGTGATTTAGACATGTTTGTTTGCAGAGATATGCCAGATGGCAAAAGATGAGGGTTTGTGCACTGGAAATAACAGTCGCTGGTACTTTGACTCGCAGGCGGAAGCCTGCCTGCAGTTCTCATACTCGGGATGCCGTGGTAACAGGAACAGATTTGAAAGTCAGGAGGAATGTGAGAGAATATGCCAACAATACAAAGGTATATGCAGGAATGGGGCTGTAAGTGACATGACTGTGACACATAAATGAGTCCTTCTGTTTGATGTTTGGTGATATGGTAATGCCTCATCTAGGCTAAGTTATATTGACTGTCAATTATCATAGCAGTAACAGTTAAAGACTTGAAACCCAGCGTTGTGTGGTTGAATCGTTCTCTGTCCTGAAAGCAAAGCAAAGCTGCCTCTTATACACACCATGGATGCACTTTATGTGACAGGAGGTTAAACTACTACTTGCTTGTGACCTTCATATTAGAGGGTGGTGAGTGGTCAGCTTCACACCCTGGCCACACTTTATCTGTGGCGATGGGACTATCAGTACCCATTGGATAGGAGGCTGGATGGGTGCCAAATCTGGTCTGGATGCAGAGGCTAGAAGAGATGTTCTTTGCTTCTGCTGGGGATTGAACCCCAGTCATTTAATCTGTTGTCAGATCCTACACTGACTGAGATACCTTGGATCAAATCAGATAGTACCTTGAATAACCCTTTGTCAAATGCCCCCAAATCCATACCTACTCTACTCATCATTCATCTTCCAATTGTACATCATACTGTATAACATGCATCTGAAACAGAATCCTTGCTTAATTAAAGACACAATCTTTATATGTACAAATTAGGAAATTGTCTTTCTGAATCTGTAAAAAAGAATGTTTGGCCATTAGTAAGTGACTTCAGCATGGAATGTTTATATTTATGAGTTGTTGCAATGCATTTGTATCATCTGTGCATGCTTACACCTCAAGAGGAACTGAAGGCAAACAGAACAGCCCGCTTGCATCATTATGGTGTCTCCTTGTCTGGAGTAATATCATATCGTCTTCATGGACATGGAAGACTGGATCAGAAGTGTGGTACTAAATTCATTATATGCATATTTAAAGTTTTTGTATATATTGTTTCAAAGTTATTTTCTGCATTCGTATTTGTATTAAACAAATAAAAGTTTGACACATAAAAATTCAGTTATGAGTTTACAATCAAATGAGCATCAAGACCACTACAGGTGCAAAAATACCAAGGAACACATTTTGAAAAGGGCAGACATGTATGTGCTTATATGTAATGTAAGAAAACATTACTAAACATGAATGGAAATTTATACTGCATTAGAGTACACAACCGCCACACACATATGCACATGTGTACATACAAGATTTTACAGAAATATCTTGTGAGGCTTGGATCCAGCATATTGTTTCTTATTTGTCTTTTATGTTTTTACAAGATTTCAGTACTTAAAATGGGGCTCAGAAACTTAGTTCACTCTCCAAGTCTCCTCATGTCTCTACACATAACAGACACCTGTATGCACAGCTTTGGAAACACTAGGAATTTTTCTGCTGATTGATTGGTGCTGGGTTTATTTTTCATATCAAAAGTGCAGTCTTAGAGAACTGTGGTTGTAATTGGCCTAGTCAACTATCGACTTCCATGTTACTCTGCATTGTGAACTTGTAATATTTATTTATGCCATAGGATCTCAGCACACCTGTAACAGAACATGAACATGTTTCAGTGGAATGACTGGTCATTACTGTTTCAGAAGGGGAAGAAGAGGATATAGCCATAATAACTACTGAATCTCCTGCATTGCATGCTGAAAACTTCCTGTTTGGTCCCAACATGAGCTCTCATACTCAACTTGTAGATGCTGAAACTGATGTGACAGTTATAAATTGTGTTGTCGCCCGCTGGTCCCCATGGTCTGCTTGCAGTGTCACCTGTGGCCGAGGAGTCAAGACCAAGACTAGGACAATCAAGGTAACTGTTTTGTCCCTCCATAAGTTTGCACTGTTTATAATTTTTTTCATTATTTCAATCTATTTGATTTACTGCTGTCATTCCAATAGATTTTAACTTCTCCACATTTTTCAATAATCATTATCATTATGATTATTTCTGCATTCTGATGTTAATAGAGTTTCTGTGATTTTATTTATGGTTTTTGTTTTTGTTGAATAAATTTATGTTATCAGCACAGACCAGAAGCTGATGTGTCTCTTTCAATTCCAGTTCCTCCTGGTTTTCTTGGATCTTCATAATGGCATAATCTAAACTAAAGTTGAAAAGCAATGGCAAAAATTTATCTTCTTGCTTCAGACTATTCTGAATAGGCATCAAACAGATGTTTACATACACAGATTTTAGTACAGTATTCATTTAAACAAATTTTAATCAGCTTAAATAATTCCATAGGAATATTAAATTAAATCAGAATATAAACTTGTATATTTCTATCCTAACCAAATCATAGGCTTTCTTGACATCTATAAATGGTATGTACTGTCCCACTGTACTACCATTTCTTCTTTCATATCTGACAAATGGAAAATATCTTATCAGTAGCTAATTGATTTTGACAATATCCTCAAATCCACAATGATGGTTCCTAATATTTTTGTGTATGTATGGAGTTTACCTTCACAGAAGAATGTTTAATAACAGTTTGTATGTAGTTGATAAATGCGATATTTTTCATTACTTGTTACAGTTATAAATAGGTGCAATAATAGATTCTTTCCACTGCTCTGGCAATTCTTCTTATTCCATATAGAATTAATGTGTTTAGTTTGTGGATCTCTGAACTGACTAAAGCATTATACCTTCCTATTGCTTGTGTGTTCCAGGTTCAAGCAAAAAATGGTGGGAAGCCATGTCCAAAGAAATTGAAGCGGAAGAAGAAATGCAAACGGAATTGTGGTGTGTATTAATAACTCAGTATATTAACTATGTATTTATTTTAATTTGGTCCGGTGGAGGGCTTTGGTTAGTTCGGTGATGAACCTCTGGGTTCCGTAAACCATCTAGTTAGTTAATTAGTTCAATTTAATGGGTGAAATCATAAGTACTATTAACCCTATTGCTGTGATATTTGACTGAAGTTGAACAAACAACCATTACCATATGTGACATTTGACATACTCTACATTAAAAAATGGTTTTCTCCTTTTGCTGTGTTATTTGACTTAATTTACTGAGCTATGAAAATTATTTTTTATTGGTCTGCATAGTGCTGCCACCTAGTTTTAAACATTTGAAGTTTTATGAAGAGGATACATTACATTAGGAAAAATGTAAATTTTTATATTTTTACCTTAAAATTGCATTATTTCAGGAAAGTGGCACAAAATGGTTAAATGAATGCTGAAACTCGTTTAAATGCTAGGAAGGAGGCTGGTCTAGAAATAAATGAAAAATCAAGCATATGTTCATGTCTCATCACCAGAGTGCAGGAAAATCCATAATATAAGAAATGTTTGTAAATTCTTTGAAAACATGACAAAGTTAAAGTTTTTGAGAATGGCAGTAATTACTTGTGATTCATGATAAAATTAAGAACAGATAAATTTGGGAAATACTTCCTGTCATTCAGTTCTGAATATTTTATCTTTTCATTTCCTGTCTAAGAAACTGAAGATTTGATTATGTAATGTCAGTTTTATATCTTGTTTTATGTAGGTGTGAAACCTAATCTCTCACTTGGATTCTGAACTGACTAATCAATCTCTCACCTCATGGAAACATCAGATTTGATTTATATAATTAGTATAAAAGCAGAATGTCCTCGTAGAAATATAATACTTGAACTGCAAACTGCATGCATATGTCAAATGACAGGGTGGGTGGGAAGTAAGTAGGCATTGAGAAATGGTTATAACCTCTACATTTCCAATGCAAAGATAATGAAAATAATTTTTACACACCACCGATGCGCGAATTATGAAATCCTATTTCGTGACGTATATGTACACATTATTTTCATTAGGATTGCATTAATATTACAAAACCTATAGCGATTATTTAATGCCTACTTACTTCCCACCCACCCTGTATATTCATTTTATATCCATAGAAACTGATTCTGACTGCCACACTGCGAGCTGCAGATTCATCCACTATGGAGTTACAATTGTAACTACTTCAGTGTGACACACTCAACACATACATCTTAGATTTAATTGAAACATTAGTATAAGAAAATTATCTGTAGCATATCCTAACAGTGGACTTCAGATTTTTAAACTTTATTAAATAAATTGAAAATGTATGAAGAAATATTGCTTTTACAGATTTGGAAAGTCTAATTGATGAGAATCCTACATGGGGAGATGCTAACCCAGTTCAAAGAGGTACTATATATGTGCATACCTGTATGTTGAAGCCTGTCATGTCATGTATTTAGCAATGTTGCTAACAGAACTGTCAAAAATAATTTTTCATATTATCCATTCTAATATGGTTACTCGTCTTCCCTGCATTGTGTGCCTGTGACTCACACTCATATTTTTGTTTTTGTGTGTGATATATTATAAACTCTAAAACGTGAACACTTATTCACTTTCAAGTAAACTCCAGTCTGTAACTTTCAATTTTGCAGGCTTTATACTTCTTTTTCTAGCAACAGACTTAAGATCATTGCCCTTTTTAACAGTAAAAGGAATGCATATGTATGATGTATGTTTTTAAACATTGTTCTTTGTGGCATAGATGTACAAATCAGATTCTATCTGCATGCATTTACTCAAACATTTACACATTTTGAACTCTCATTTGAGACTATGTTCCATTTTTTTTACAGACAGGCTTATCATATTGTCATATGATGTTTCTGTCATATGCTAATAACCTTTGAACCAATTCATGGTTTATGAATATCATGCCACTATAGGCCACCCTACCGTTGTAGCTCTTAATTTCCTATCACTGATAATACCAATATGGTGGCTGTGCAAACTTCTGAGATGAGTGTAACAGAAGTGCCAGTTAATGTATGTTTCATGTGGTACAAATGTTTTAAAAATAAATATTTCTAATGGAGTTAACTTTTTTGCATACTATATATTTTGATTTTGGTTTGATTATGAAATTTTGTGTAGAGATAGAAAATAACTTGATAATTTGTTCATATGTTAGTAATAAAACACTGCATTAGAGTGAAGTTTGTAGATTATATATGGCATATTTCATATAATCTGATTTTGTGCCAGTGGAAATTGTGCTCAAGAAAGGGATGCTAAATTATGTAATTATTAATTTATAGTTATTCCCAACTTCACTGTACAAAATGAAGCACTTGAAGGGAAGTATTAGTTATACTTCCCAGAAGTTCTTGTTTGAGTTGCATATGTCAGCAGTAATTTAAACTGGATATTATGTGAGCCCTTTGAACCTGTCATGTTTCTTACAGGTTACTGCACAGCTGGTAGTAATTTCATGTGATAATGATATTACAATATATTTTTAAAATTTTCCTGCAGTTCAGCCTATTGACTGTGTTCTGTCCGAATGGTCTTCTTGGTCTCTGTGTTCCCACACATGCGGGATGAATGCCATGCGGCAGAGAACAAGGAGTGTGGCTACTTCCAGTAGTGGTGGTGGATTACCATGTGGGTCACGTCTGGAGGTCATACCATGTGAACTGCTTCCTTGTAATGACTAATCATTACAGGTAAGTGTTGTCACAATACATTATTAATGATTAATTCATAGAATAGAACACCAAATACTGTTTTGTAGTATTAGTAACAATTACTGGAAATGAAGATGAATGGAAAAAGACCCAGGGGCAGACCATGAACATGATGGATAGAATAAGTGAAGAAATATGTAAAGAAGACTGGAGGAACATAGATGACATGTAAGAATGGACAAATTGAGACAGTTTGAGACTCCTGTGCAAAAGTCGACCCAGAAATATGGATACAATGTAAGGAAGAAGATGGTGAAGAGGAAGTATCAGTGACAATAGTTGTCAAGTGGTTAGAACTCCTGCACTTTATTTGGGGGGGCTTCAGTTCCAAGTTTAGTTCTCAGCCTAGAATCAAACTATCTTGTCTGGTATTTTGTGTGATTGATTTTCCTCAGTCTTTCCAGTGAATACTGAATAATACTTAAAACAGATCATGAGCATACCCAACCATATCCATTCCATTTCATTATGCACAGTCAGTACTGTATACTCACAAATTATGTTGAGATAAAAAAAGTGTCATGAAATGAATTAAATTTAAAGAGTAGTGGCACAACAAGTTTGGAAAGTAATGCTTCTGAATTCTGGGATTTTCTGTATTTTGTGTCCTTATATCCAAAGTTTTTTTTGTGGGTAAAACAGTTGACTTAATTGTTGATATTGATAATATTGGTAGTGAAAATGATGAAAAACTCAACTGAGGTGTCATCTGTAAGTGTCTATCAGATGGAGAATCATGGAGCATACTTTAAGTAAGACCTGCCTGCAATTTAAATAAATAAAATCAGCAATTTAAGATTTACAGATTTCAGTTACTTTCAAATTTTGAGACACCAAATACTGAATTAATGGACCCATTACTGTAGTAGTGGTAGTAGACACGATGGTAATAATAATAATAATGGTTGCTTATTTTGTTTTTATGATGTTGTATGAACTGTTGAGGTTATATAGTGCTGAAAAAAAGGGTAGCATCAGTAGGGGTGTGGGAGGTAGTGTTTGTGCCCTAATATTCACCTGGTAAGAATGAGGAAAACTACAGGAAAACATACTTAGGGTAGCTGATGTAGTGGCTACAGTTTGAACTGATATATATATCATATGAAAAGCAGGAGTTTATTAACCACAACAGTGTGACAGTATGTTTAAAGTTATATTGTCCTAGATATAGAGTTACATATTTACAGAGGAACTAAGAATTTCCTAATCTTCGTAAGAATTCCTAATTGTAATATATTTTTCTTCCAGAGAAAAGATCTGTTCTACAAACTCAACATCCATTCATCTACAATTTTTATGTTTTCTTGTACAATGAAGTTTGTAGATGGCCATGTACAGACTGATAATAATTAAGTCATATCATATCAACGGTGATCTTTCAGAGTTTCAATTTTCTTGTGATTAGTATAAGTATATAAGAATAATAACTTTATTATTTACAAAACTATTCTATAAGTTTAATTATTAACAGTCTAATGTAGATAATTTCTGTAAATAATGTACCATTTGTTAGGTAATTATGTCATTTGAATGTTTTTTTATTTTTCTGTATCCTTCCAGTTGCCATATAATTTATTCTTTGTACTCAAATTTCTCATCCTGCTTCATTTAATATTTTTAACCTTATTCTTAAGTAAATGTATTTTAACCCTTTCACTTCTCCACTTATAAGGAACTAACAAGGTTCTCACATTTAGGGTTCTTTCCTTGCAAAATATTGCATATGTTGCTCGAGTAAGTTTGTGAGATTCTATAAATTTTAGAGGGAAAAATTTACTATATTTTCAGACCACTGTTTTTTTAATATTGTGCTGAATTTAAATATTCACACATGAGCACTGTGTTTTACAAAAGGATATGTTCCTTGAAAGCAATTTTTAAATTAATATTTAGTAAAGGTAATAAAATTTTACATTAGTTTAAAGGAAATAAGTACAGGAGAGAGCCCAAGTTAAAATATATGAGTAGAAAGGGAAGGTAGATAACTGTATGTAGTGTGCATATATGTATTTATTTATTTATTGTCATAAATGGTAACTGATGATCACTTTGGCCACATGGTATAAGATATGTATGGTTTTAGACTGCTCAATCTACTGAGAATGTATGTTTGAATCTTATTTGAGGTATGGACATATGTACATCTGTATAGGCAGAGGCCATGTGATTGACCAAGTGCCATCCAAAAAAAATCCTTCTGAATATGCAAAGATTCATAGTTTCAGAATTAATTTTGAATTGGAATGGGCCAAATGGCCTAGCCCATGAAAGCTGAAGAGTGTATAACAAATAATTAATTTTAAATCAACAGTTATAATTAAAAAAAATTAACTGTATAAAGGAAAAGTGAATATTGAATCATGGAGGGCAAGATTTATAGATAAGACTTATAAAAATGGCTAACAGTACACAATGAGCAACACGGCACAATGCTGCCAACTTGCTGCAAGAAAAGGGGGAGGGATGATGGACAGGACTGAAAACATATATGTATGATCCTGCGTGTTTTCACTGCAGTGAAAGTCTATCATGCATCAAAGACAATTAATATTGATATATTAAATATGTTAGTGCAAATATTTGTCAGTTGAACCTTTGTCAAATGAGGAGTTATTGTAGTATAATAAGTGGGAAGAACGAACAGTCAGAAAAACATATTTGGGGGGTTGGTATGGCAGATCGGTATTGGTTGTATTAACCCAGAATTTAGGGGCTGGCATTGAAAGGGTTATATATACCTAAAAATATAAATGAAAATTGGTACATATTTCATATGTAGACAATAATGTTGTTGTATTATATAAAACGTGCTTGTGACAGTGATGACTATAAACTTGTCAAAATAGAATGCATAATAACCTAAATACTATAAAGGTATAGATGTGTCTGTCACACACTTCACTAAGACCATAATTTTCATACTACTTACATAATATTCAAACCAATCCTTTATGTTCCTATACTTTCTTTTCACGATTAGATAATATGTAATTAGTTTTGCACAGAAATCTCTATTATTCAGGCTATTGGAAGGGAGAGGAGGCACAGATAATAAGGAATATAGATAATTTAAAATTACTACCATTAGTGTCATAATTAGTTTACACTTTTAATGTGGCACAGTATCATGGGACAGGTTAATTTTACACTTCCCATGTAACATGATGCTATAGGTCACAGAATGTAGATTCTTGAAGAAACACATTATGGGGACATTGGGAAGGGGATAAAAGTATTGTTCACAAACACCTGTGTGTGTGGGATAATGTGTGTAGTCTGAAGGAAAGTGGTATTTTGAGATACTGTTCTGATTCTCCTGAATTGCCTGAGTAAAAACAACAAAAAGCTACAATCAGAGTAGCCTGTCTTCCAGCTATAATTCAAACCAGGGTTTCTAAAGTACTTTGCAGAAGTGTTAACCATGGTGAAACAATATTTTGTAAGAAGGATTTATGATTTACCCTCTTAACAACCAGTCCTGAATATTCCTCTTGTCAATTAAGCAGGACGGTGTAGTGGCAACATTTCATCTTAGTATTCAGGCTGTTCCCCAGTCTAATGTTGGCTAGGTTTCTGGGCATACGGATAATGTGTAAGTTAAATGATTAAAACAAATTTTTCTCACAGAAGAATGGGAACTGGTTACTGCAGTATGAATCATGTAACTCTCCTGTACGTTTTAAAGCACCACAGTTTGCAGTTGCACCACTGTTTGGTTCATTTGGTCCCCATGGAGCATAACCTGTAGAATTCAAAGAATCACCTGCAAAGAAACATGAGAATTTATTTTAAATCATGGTAACTAGTTTTAGCATGTGATGAGATTTGTGTCCTTCATATTTCATTTGTAGGTTATCAATATGTGTACTGTCTGTTTACCATCCAAATATCCTTACTGTTTGATGTTAAGTACAGTGATATCTTAATTTTGCTGTTCACCAGAACTTCTAATATTTTTTTTTTTTTTTTGATGCTGTTTGAAAAATCATTTATCTCTATTCACCCCATAAGAAGTAATATATATTTTTTCAGTTATGTGTTTTAGATGGAGTCTGCTCTGTGTCAGATTAATATGAGAACTGTTCTTACCCAATACAGTGACAAATACTGCTTCCTTATCAAAATCATTAATTCCAATATGAAGGAAGTCTCCTTTCACTCCACTTGCATCCCATATCTTTTTCAGTTCTGTGAATTCCTTGGGTGAATTCAATATCAGGAGGTGGCCATTTTCTGCTGTACATGTTATTACAGCCTTGTACCAAGTGACAGGAACATCATGGAATCTGTAGTAGCCCAAGTCAGGCAACAACTTGTACTGCACATGTATATGTCGTGGAGGTACTGGAAAACATTAGATACATGTGAGTAATATACAGACATGTCTATGGTAGTGAATTTTTTGTGTGTGGGAAGTACAGTTTGGTTATACTGATATGTCAGACTATTGTGGTTTTCTCAGTCACTGTTAGTGGGACTAGTTATAAGCTTAGCAAAGTTACAGTAACTGTATTACTCCTTTAGATATAACAATCTGCCTAATACCAAGATTCCTAATTAGATGTCACTTCAAATGAGATCAGTCTGCTCCACATTTTCACAATCCATTTGCCAAAGACTCATTTTAATAATGATGCTGATGTTATTCTGTGTTTTGGCACCATGTAAACTTGCTGGTACATGCTAACATTTTGGAGTAAAATGCTCTATCTTCAGCCCTGAAGATGCAGACAGTATGTTTCTCTAAAATGTTTTCATCTACCAATGAGTATACATGGCGCCAAAATTTAAAATAACATCATCCTCACTGTCATGAAAACCTCAAATGCCACATTTAAATATTACCCTCTAATATCCTCAATGTTTCTTATGACTTCATTCCAAGACATCTCACGTTATTCTCCCATCTGCATAAGCAGTGAATAATTATTTGTTGAGTGGCATTTTCAAGAGCTGACAGCAGAGTTTGCTGTATTTGCACTTACATTAACAAATATAAAGTTATGCAGAACAGAAGTGGTTGGTATTTCTTGATGAGATATTTCATGGAAAGAGTTAAACTCAAATATCAGTTTCATGGCATACATAAAGTTATGGATTTGACATCCCTCAGCCCTGGAATACCTGCTATTGTTGCCACTAGGTGTACAGACTCCTCCTCATCGCACTTTTCTACTGAGTGGTCCACATCCAGTTCCCATGGACCTTCTTCATGTTGATACGCCCCATGATTCAGTGATACCTAATTCCAACAGAAGGTCTATGGATTTTAATTAGAAACAGAGTGTCATCTACTAACTTTCTCAAAGCTTATTAGCAACTTTGTCAAGTAATTAATTTGTATCATTTTTGGAAACCTAGTTGTATGAATCTCACACAATAGGCACCCTTCTGTTTTATATGAAGACAGAACTAGAGACAACATAGGCAAAGTGGTCATACAACATGGATTTAATTATGTGTGTGAATATAAATATGAACAATCATTTGTCAAATGTGAAAAATCTCATTATGTGTGGTCTATCAAACATTTTGCAACAGGACACAAAAAAAATACTACTGCTGTTTTACAAGCTAAAGATGGTCTGGCTTTTGTGTGGCATATGTATTTAAAAAAAAACAAAAACAACGTGGTTTGTTTTGTTCAACATGTGCGTGTAAATGTTCAGCTCAACAGTCACCTCATGATTTCTTCCTCCTGCATCTTTAACCTCCTCTTAATCTCACAGACAGCATGTAACCCACAGTGTAAGTCTCACATTTTTTACCATTTAAACTTGTGTTGTTTTGTAAGATTGAGTTTCTCACAGTGGAAAGTATAAAGATGGTTCATCCTGATGATGGAGGCAGCAAGCACCTCAAACGTTGATAAACGTCTGCCCTACTACACGAAGCTACAACCCAGAAGATGGCCATCTTCTTGTGTCCTGTTTTTCCACATTTAAATGTTTTTAATATTGCCCTAGGACAGCATTATGGAATGAAAACATAAATATAACAGTGACAATGAAACAAAGGAAAGTCATAAGGTTATGACATAAGATGAGAAAATGATTCTGGAAAGGTTGCGTGGTGGTATGAGTGCAGCAGCAGTTGGCCCAATATTCTGTTGCTATTTTATTTTAAAGCCTAACTTTTCATTGATACTTTAGATTTAAATATCTTAACAACATTAAGTTTATCCAACATGGATTCGCTGAATATGCCACTTGTGAGGATTGCATCCCCTACATTGGATGAGGGTTTACTCTGCTATCATTTTATGGACTCCACAGAATAAATGCACATTCCTTTTACCTGAAGAAGGAGACAGAACCACCCTCGAAAACATTATGTAACTTTTGATCCAGGCAATGAACAACACTTGAATAAAAATCCGCAAGGAAGAAAGATACTGACGGACCTTGTAAATCTTCAACTGAAGCTGCACCAGCCTTACACACTGCTCTTGGAATATGTAAAACACAGAAGGAAAATGAAGAGTAAAGAGCAAACAAAATAAGAAGAGGAAACAGGAGGAGAAAGTATGAAGTTCAAAGGAGAGGTAAAGGTGGTAACTGAAGGTTGAGTAGATGGAGAACAAAGACAATGAAGAATGGAAGGGTAGTACAAGAAGAAGGATGAGCAGAAAAACAAGATACAGGGTTAGGAGCATAAAGCAGGATAAAAAGAATGAAAAGAGGAATCTTCCTCATTTTTGGGCCAGGTGTTGACCAAGATACTTGTGATTTTTAATGGAAACAGAATTATCTGTCATGCATAAAACTGAAAACCTCTCTGACCTGAGCTACCCAGTGTCCAGTATTGTTTCGCTGGCTTTTGATGACTAACTTTACAGTTTCATGTTGGTAGGAAGAACATTGCTGTCCTGTTGCTATGTTGATCCACCACAACACAGACCATATCAACATAAACTGAGACATCTGGAATAAAGGTAGCAGCTTCATGAAAATAGCAAATTAAAGCCATTTATTGTATGAGAAAACACACATCATAACTAAGTAATATATATGTGTGGCTATTACCAAACAGCAATGTATCCACAGACACAGTTAAACGCATTTATCACTTAACATGTGACAGTTGCATTTGAAGGACGGAGGCATAAAACATTCTTCCCAAATTTTAATATATTATATGAGAACTGTAATGATTCATCTTTACATATGTTACTCACCCTAATTGAAAAGTAGGCTGAATCTGGAACAATGAGCTCACAGCAACTCACAAATGTGTTTAATTTACTGTGCCTTATATAGAGTGCCAGTAGGCCAATTAACAGTTTTTAAGCCTCCAGAAACATGTGCAGATGTTCGGGTACTGTAGAATGATCCTCCCGCTAGAGATACCAGACTTTCAGCAATAAAACCACTATGCAGTGATGGCTCTCAAATGTTGTAGGTATATGTTTAAGTCCTTGTGGTTTTATTATTGCTGACAGTCTGGGGCTTCTAGCGAGAGGATCACTACAATGGTTATGTGGCAAGAAATGGAACTATTCATTCAATAGAATATATTGCTTTGTGACTTTGTATTTCTGTTTTATTAACCAGAGATTTCAATGTTCTTGGCATGCTGATCAACCACTGGCTTTCATCACAATAAACATAAATGTGTAGGACACAGGCGCGCTGAGCATTAATCTGCTAACATTGTCACAATTTTTAATTGTGCGAAGCAAGTAAGCTTATTTAAACTTTTTGATTGGAAATGATCCCAAGAGCACGTAGTTAAGCTATGCATATTCTGTTGTGAGACACTCTGTATAGGATATGCTTTTGTTTTCATTCTACGAACAAGCTAGTGACAGGCGAAACGCACAGTTGTGTCCCGGGTACTTAGCACGCATTTTCCAAAAGCCTTCTTTGACGTTTTGATAATGCTGTTGGTATTCATCTCTACTTATCGCAGATAAAATCTGTTTCACAACTGATCGCTCCCTTTCTCTGTACACATACACATACTTATATATATATATTCTTCTTCTATGGCTCTCCGGTCAGTATTCGGTCCATGGCCTCAATTCTCCTCTGTCCGAGGCTTTGATTGAGGTTTCGAAACATCTTCCTTTTTACGGTGCAAGGTTGTTAGCCTTGCGACCAACCCCCCAACCTGGAGGGCCAGGGTACCTGTCTTAGTCTGACCTCTCCCCGTAGGGAGGCCCTACCAGTAGCTCTTGGGGTCACTGAGGTACTCAAGCCCCACCACCACGACAAAGTGCAGGTACCATTAAGTGGGCATAAATTATTTTATCTTGCATTTCATAAAATATATGCCAACTGCAGTGAAAGGTGTTCGAAATTGATGTGGGATAATCTTAATACGATTATGTTTTATGCGATAAATACATTTTTGTGAGGACATATGCGAAGTCCAATTTTAGCTTTGCATTTTTAGACCACTTATGATGTAGACCCGAAAACCAAATTTCATAAATTGTTATAGAAGGTGAAAGACGTAGACGGACAGACACAATTGCAAATTATGTAGTGTCAGCCATTGTCTATCCTTTAATTTTTGTTGGGAGAGTGAAGGATGTCATTTGCTCCCTCGCTTCCAAAATTTTGCGAGAATGCTGTAAGAAACTGGAGGGATTAAGCCTACGTTTGTTTATTGAATATCACTGTTATCGTTGAGGCATAAGAATTCGTAATTCTGTCTTCAAGGTCAAACTTTTAACACAGGCCGGTAATTTCAATTCTGTTCAATTACTCCGTGACGTAAACACATCTCAATTGCTACTACTGGAACTTAGTGTAAACGTTAAGGAATTGGAATGAATTAAAGTGTCTTGCAAGTGAAGTGCTTTTTATCTTGATAGGCTAGACCAGCGTTTATCAACTTATGGTACGAGTACCACTGGTGGTACGAGAGCTAAGTAAGAAATTCAAAAGATAATATTAACATTAATAACGTTTCCCTGAACGCATTTGTTTAGTGATACATTTAATGTGTTAAATTAGAATTAGTGGTACGCCAGCAAAAAAGAGTGAGAACCCCTAGCTAGACTATACAGTGTGTCCACAAAGTCCCTTCGGGGTTTTGAAAAATTGTGGCGCGCAAACAAATTGAGCTAGCCACATGCGGTTTGCGGCAGATTACAGTGAAACTCTGGAAGTTTTTTGCTGACCTCAGTAGACCTTGATGTGGACTTCTTGAAAAAAATCATGTTCACAGACAAGGCAACATTTCATGTCTCGGGTAAAGTTCACAGGCATAATGTGCGCATATGGGGCACTGAAAACCCACATGTTGTTAGGGAGCACATACGCGATAGTCCGAAAGTCAACGTGTGGTGTAATGCATGACCAGGTTATTGGACCCTTCTTTTTTCAAGAGCAGACGATCAACATGATCACCTTCCTGGACATGCTGGAACTGTACGCAGTGCCACAAATTGAGCACTTACAGCCACACATCATTCTGCAACAAGATGGTGCTCCACCTCATTGGGGTCTGCAGGTACGCGCGTACCTAGACAGGACATTTCCAGGAAGATGGATCGGCAGAGACGGTCCAATGCCTTGGCCTCCACGTTCACCAGACATAACACCACTGAATTGTTTCCTGTGGGGTTATGTCAAGAGCAATGTGTTCCGAACACCAGTTAACGGACTTGATGACCTGAAGACCCGCATCAGGAATGCGATCTCGGCTATTCCAGCGGACATGCTCCACAGAACATGGCAAGAGCTCGAATATCGTCTGGACGTTTTCCGTGCTACCAAGGGAGCCCACTTCGAGGTCTATTGAGGTCAGTAAAAAACTTCCAGAGTTTCACTGTAATCTGCCGCAAAACACATGTGGCTAGCTCAATTTTTTAGAGCGCCACAATTTTTCAAAAACCCGAAGGGACTTTGTGGACACACTGTACTTTCTTATAACTGACGTGTGCAACACAAATAAATTATAGGCCAAATTTTTTTTTATTAAACAAAGGACTTCTAATAGCTTTGGAAGTATATAGGCCTAATAATACTTCAGTAGTGTCACAACGGCAGAAGATTGTTAGTGGCTTATTTGGCATAAAAGATAAAAATATTTTGGAGTGGGAAAATGTGAAGGGCTGGCAAAATTATACTGAAAGTCGACAACGAGAAAGTCCTAAACTCGAGGCCTATATGATTTGTGACGATACCAAACACACTATAAAATGTTTTTCAATTCAGAAATATACCGACTGGACAAAGCTTTAGTTTGATACAATCGATGCAAACTTCGTCAGTTCATGTGTTATGGAACTTCCAAACGGCGAGGACAAATACAGATGATCCTTGCATGAAGAAGTAACAGGGAAACGAATTTTCGCTTTACGACTCTCATAGCGAATTGTCCCCTCATAACGAATTGCTTAGAATGTGGTCTCACTGCACGAGTATTCACGCGAACTAAAATGACCGGATCTTGGAAAGACAGTTTGAGTCAGACAGGGTACTTCAAAGAAAGGGTCCGGTGGAGATCGTATCTGACAAGGGTTGGGTGTGGAGAATTTTGAACAAAGTTCAATTTTTTTTAACGTTATCAAAAAATAAAAAAATGCTGGAAATTGTCCAAAAACGCACAAAACTAAAAAATTGTAAACGTTTAACTTCAATTTTTTTAATATTTCGAAAATTTCTGGTTTTGTGAGCTGTTTAGACAACTTCCAGCGGTTTTTTGATTTTTCGAAAAAAATTAAAAAAATTGAAATTCTTTTTCAAAATTTTCCCTACCCCATCCTCACCAGAACATTTGTTTGCAGAACCCGGTCAAAGCCAGTGTCGCTCTCTGTCTCACCTAGTGTCTTCCTAACGCGGTCTCTGCCGGGCACGGTCTCTGCCTCACCCGACCACTGCCAGGCACCGTCTCTGTCTCGCATGGTCTCAGCGTCTCTCTTTCTCTGCCGGACTGTCTTTTCAACACCCGATCTCTGCTGCAAATGGTGTTTGCAGAGACGGCACGTTTGAGACAGGTACATAAAGAGACTGGATCCTGGAGAGAGAGCCTGTAAGAGACCGGTTACGTCAAAGGGAGGGTGCGGCGGTGATCGTATCTGACAGTGGTCGGGTGGAGAAAATTTTGAAAAAAGTTCAAGTTTTCAAAGTTTTCAAAAAATCAAAAAATGCTGGAAATTGTCCAAAAAGCGCACAAAATTAAAAATGAGAAATTGCAAATCCAAATAATTTTTCAAATATTTCTAAAAAATTTTGGTTTGTGCGCATTTTAGACATTTTCCAGCATATCTTGATTTTTCAAAAAATTTAAAAGCAAGCAGTGACATAGTGAACCAAAGAAAATGGCAAGCAAGGACCGGGTGAGGCACACACCGTGTCTCAGCTGAGACTCTGAAGTAGACTTTGACAGAGACCGGGATGGGTTAGGTCAGATTTAGAAAAATACCTTGCAATTTTTCAAAATTTTCGAAAAATCAAAAAAATGCTGCAAATTGTGTGAAAAGCGCACAAAACCAAACGTTTTCGAAAAATTCGATATAAATTTATAAGATGAAATTTTTCAAATTTCTTTAGTTTTCTGCGCTTCTTTGACGATTCCCTACAATTTTTGATTTTTCGAAAATTTTGGAAAAAATTGAAATTGTTTCGAAATTTTCAAAAATTTAAAAAAAATGAAAACGGTTGCAAATGCCATGAAGAGCGAAGATAACTATAAATTTTCGAAATACATTTTGAACTCAGAATTTTTTTTTAGTTTTGTGCGCTTTTTGGACATTTTCCTGCATTTTTTGAAATTGTGAAAAAATTTGTTAATTTTTTTCAATATTCTCCCCACACGATCCCTGCCACAACCGGTCTCTGCGCACTCTACCGGGATCGGTCTCAGCACGAACCGTCCTCTGCATCCCCTTATTTATGCCAGGCCGTCTGTACAAAGTCCTGTTTTGACAGACCTGCTGAGGCACAGACCGATCCAAGCAGACATGTGAGACAGAGACACAGGCAAGCAAAGACCGAATGAGGCAGAAACAGCGTCAAGCAGAAGCCGGGTGAAGCACACAACGTACCAAGCACAGGCACGTGAGGCACAGACCGTGTAACGCAGAGACCGGGTGAAATAGAGACGGAGTCAAGCAGAGACGGTGAATCACACCGTGTAAAGCTGACACCGGGTGAGGCACACATCGTGTCCAGCTGAGACTGTGTGAAGTAGACATTGACAGAGACCGGGTCCGGCAGAAACTAGTTCTGATAGGGATGGTTTACGTCAGATTTAGAAAAAATATCTCGCAAGTCCCAAGTCGCGAAAAGTCCCAAGTCCGAAATCGCGAAAAGTTGCAAGCCCCAAGTCGCGAAAAGTCGCAAGA